TGTGAGCTACCTCTCTGAAAGGTCCCAATGTGTTAAGTTCGATGGGCTGTCTTCTGAATGGTTAAACATCACTAATGGTGTACCACAAGGTTCAGTTTTAGGTCCGCTATTATTCTCTATCTATATTAATAGTTTAGATGAAAATGTCGAAGGAGCAACCTTACATTTTTATGCGGACGATACCGTGATGTATTGTGCAGGTCCCTCCATTAAGGAGGCTGTTGTTAAATGACAGGCTGTTTTTAACATTATTCAGGCTCAGCTCTCTGAGCTTAAGCTTCTTTTAAATGTGGATAAAACCAAGGTAATGCTCTTTTCTAAAGCTAAAAATACACCAGAGACTGCTTTGGATATTGTAACTACGCAAGGAATACAACTTGAAGTGGTTGCCTGTTACAAATACCTGGGTATCTGGCTTGATGACTGTCTCACTTTTAAATTTCATGTAAATAACCTGCTTAAAAAACTGAGGGTTAGACTAGGTTTCTTCTACAGAAATAAGTCCTGTTTCTCGCTTGAGGCCAGGAAAAGGCTAGTCACTGGGACCTTTTTACCTGTGCTCACTATGGTGATTTGTTATATATGAATGCACCTGGCTATTACCTGAGCAAGTTAGATGCTGCGTATCACAGTGCACTGAGATTTTTGACAAATTGTAAAGCACTTACGCATCACTGTACACTGTATACCAAGGCGGCTTTGCCATCACTTACTGTACGGAGGCTCAGTCACTGGTACATGTTCATTTACAAAGCCATGTTGGATAAACTACCATCTTATATCTGCTCCCTGATCTCTCGGCGAATTGAAAGTAGTTATTGCCTGAGATCGCATGCTGTGGTTTTATTAAATGTGCCAAGTGCTAGGACTGTCTTAGGGAAGAAAGCTTTTAGATGTGCAGCTCCACTAACTTGGAACAGTCTGCAAAAAGAATGGAAAATTACCAATCTGGTACCACTACATGTTTTTAAAGCTCGGTTGGATGCTACACAATCAGATGCTGTTGGTACCTGTACATGTGGATAGATATGTAAATTGTAATCCCTGTAATTTTTGCTGTATGATGTCCTTTTGTTGTTCTGTTGTTTATGTTTTTATGTCTTCATGTGGAACCTACTGCTGCAGGTCTCCCTTGAAAAAGAGATCATTGATCTCAATGGGATTTCACCTGGACAAATAAAGGTTTTGAATTGAATTGAATTGAATTGTAAAGAAAATTGAAAAATGTTGCTGGATGGAAATAAGCGTGGCTTGTACTCATAGATTCATCTCAGTTAAAGAAATCCAGGAATAAAACATTTCACCTCATGTTTTATTCAATAAACCCTGCATACTAATTGGCCAGCGGTCCCTGTGGAAGAGGATAAATAAGGAATAGCAAACCTCGTAGTAAAAACAAAGTGTCCCAGGTTTTATAACTCAGTATTTGGTTAAAGAAAATAATACTTTTGAGAAAACATTTCAAAACAATCGTCTCACAAAATGTTCTTAATTTGAGCTCATGTGACCACAGACTGAGAGTAAACAGAAAAAGAACATCCTTACGCACAAGATAAATAAACCTCACAATTATATTGGCTCAGCTATGAAACTAAAAAGGAAGAGAGAACAGGAAGACACCGGGAGGATGAGGTCATGTTGGCAGACACTGGTCACTGTCTCATTACCAGGGTCAAGTGCTAGTAAAATGACACCTTTTAAATGCAGATCAACACACATCTGGAAACTAGAGAAAATGACACACTAACTGTCTGACTTTATGTATTAAAAAACTATATTTACTATCACGTCAGGTTAAAGACACACTTTAAACACATTTTCAGAGTCACGTCTGTCTGGCCTCCTGTTTCTCAACATTAATTAAGTGTGTGAATGTGTGTGTGTGTATGTGTGTGTGTGTGTGTGTGTGTGTGTGTGTGTGTGTGTGTGTGTGTGTGTGTGTGTGTGTGTGTGTGTGTGTGTGTGTGTGTGTGTGTGTGCGTGTGTGCGTGTGTGCGTGTGTGTGTGTGTGTGTGTGGCGTTGCGTACGCCCCACAGTCTGTACATGGTCACAATGTGGGGTGCTAATAAAGTTTTTATGAGCTGCTTTAATCTGACCCTCTGACCAATCACAACACCTCACTGTGACCCCGCCCCTCCCCGAGGGCTCATTAGAGCGCTGCCCATCACACATAATGAACTGTTGAAGTGAAAACACAGAGCAGAGATGTAGCAGTGACAGGTGGTGGGACGGAGGGGGAGTGTATTGTGTGTGGCACCGACTCACTCACATTGTGTTGCTCTCTAACAGATGCCTGTGAGACAGACTGTCAACAAGATTTAAACAGCCTTTTCTTTTAAAACACTTTGTGTTAAACGCCTGATTATGAAAGCCACTTTGTGTAGAATGTGATTATGGCATCTTCCTATTCAGTTGCTCATTTAAGGAAGTTTTTGCAAGAAATGTTAATCCATTGACATTCAGGGAAGAATCTGGGGTTTAGTATCTTTCCCAAGGACACTTCAACGACTGCGGGGTCAGGGTTCAAACCATCAACTCTCCAATTAGTGCATCACCTCCTGAGCTGCTGGGCCCACTAAAGTAACCATGGAGTCTGGGTTTACTCGTGAAATGTTGACTTTAATCTCAGCACATTTCTGATATTTCTTGGCCAATGTATTTGTAATGTTAAAGAATATTCAAGGTTTTTAAATATGTAGGTTATTCCTTTTAATCTACCATTTTATCCTCTCAAAATCTGAGTTTATTTTCACAACTGTATCCCACTCCCCTTGCTTTGATTTGATTTAATACACCATTAGAGGTTACCAAGGTTACACATGTTTAAATCCTACAGATACAGCAGAGGTTTAAAATAGAGTATATTCTGTAGACTTCTCTCTGGAGGGGACACAGGGATTTGAGCCTTTGCAGACCATTTACATGCACACAAACCTATAGAAGACACAAGAAAAGGGAAACCTCCAAAGCAGAATAGGGGCTCTTTAAATAAGGCCCCATAAGTCAACTAATAGATGTTAAACTGCAAAATAAATCATTACAGTGGAAAGCAGAGAACTCAATACAGCCAACATCTGTCTTTACATTCATTACAATATATATATATGTATGGTATTTATAATCAGTAAATTCTTGCTCATTTCTGTTTTCTTCATTTAAGAGTAGCACAATATAAAGTCAAGGAAATCACTAGTTGTCAAACTGCAAGACGATGTACAGGAAGACAATATTATTGAATTTTAATTAAATGTGACACGTGTGATTTGACATCATATAAGTTAATAAACAATATTGGCAAAGCAGAGCAAGGCAGGTCATCCTTAACATTGTAAACCATTGTTTTCAAATTACGAGAACATGACGACTATTTATTGTTAGCAGTGGTGGAAAGTAACTACGTACATGTACTCAAGTACTGTACTTAAGTCCATTTTTAAGCTACATGTACTTTACTGAGTATTTTCCTTTTAAGCTACTTTGCTACCTTGATAATGTTCTATATTATGGCCACTTGGATGAGTACTTTTAGATATAAGATAAGATAAGATAAGAGGTACTTTATTAATCCCAAAGATATAGTACTTAAATTCATTTTTAAATATTTTATTTTATAATATAGTGCGTTTGCAATACTGTAACATTGACAACATCTCTCTGCTCCAGAGATGTGTTCATGTAAAGTGAGCAGTTACTCCACATCAATCTGCAGTGAGTTCCAGATGGACCTCTCATTGTTAGTCTCCCACATGTAGACGCTTTTTATGACCAACGGACTGAGCTGAACAATTACAACTCTATAAAGAATAATGATCTTAACCCCATGACATCACTTGTGGCCGGCTCACCCTCATTCCTCCAGCTGGCCAAAAACAACAGGAGGAATATCACAGGGCTGAGCCGGGGATCACATTTTCATTGAAATATTGTATTTAAGTATTATAATGTACTTCCTTCATTTAATGGTAACTTTTATATACAGCAGACTGAAAAGTATTCGATATTGTAAAACGTAGAATATAGAAAAAGTTCAAATGTTCAAAGAAGAAGTAAGACAGGCTTTTTAGTCTTAGCAAAAACACACAATAAAATGTAACTGTGGTCATTTATAAATAGTTACATTCAGTGGTAGAAAGTAACTAAGTACATTTACTCAAGTGCTGTACTCAAGTATATGTTTGAGGTACTTGCACTTTACGTAAGTATTTCAATTTTATGCTACCTCTTACTTTCACTCCACCACCATTTTTAAGCCAAAATAGTACTTTTTAGTGACTACATTAATTTGACAAGATTAATTAGTAGTTACTTTGCAAGTTTATATTGTTAGTCTAAAAATTCAATGAACTAATGAATTATGGCATACTATTTAAGATACCTGGCAGTATAAACAGTTATTAAATGTTATTACCAGCTGCAAAATAAAAATGATTCACATTAATGCAATTATAATAAGAATCATGTGATAAAATATACTGTATATTATTCTGAAATAAACCAATCTGTGTAATGAGTTATTTTCCTTTTGGTAATTTAAGTATATTATGATGCCAGACCTTTATTTGAAACAAAGTATTTCTACACTGGGGTATAACTACTTTTAATTAAGTAAAAGATTGAAGTACTTCCTCCACCACTGGTTACAGTATGTCTGGTTCTGGAGCGTGTTCCTGTGTGTAGGAGTTCACTTGTTGGCAGTGTAGGACGCTTAAGAACATCTTGGCAGTGTTTAATTAGACTGTGTGTGTGTGTGTGTGTGTGTGTGTGTGTGTGTGTGTGTGTGTGTGTGTGTGTGTGTGTGTGTGTGTGTGTGTGTGTGTGTGTGTGTGTGTGTTATGCTAATTTAAAGTGTCCTGCCTCAGAGCTTCTGTCTCTTATATAAGAGCGACACACTGACAGGAGAGTAAAGACAGAAAGAGTGGACACAGTGCAGCTGCTGGTCTCTCCTCTCTATCTCTCTCTCTCTCTCTCTCTCTCTCTCTCTCTCTCTCTCTCTCTCTCTCTGTGTATCGCAGTGTGTGTTTGCGCTCAGATTGAAGATGATGGAAGTGTCCGTATGTTTCCTCCTGCTGCTCAGCCTCGCCCTCCAACCCTCTGATGCTGCTGGACCAGGTATGCACTCACACATTTATTAAACCCTTTAAATCTGCAATAACTCTAAACTACATTCAAACAAAAATCGAAGCCACAGCTAATGTTGTTTGCATGTACGTTATAATGCCTTTTAATTTAATAACCATAATAATAATAAATGTGAAAAGATCCACTCTATTCACTGAAAAGTCATTTTACTTTTGATACTTAAAGTACATTTAGCAAATACTAAATATACTTTATATTATCCTGAAATGGGTAATTGTTAGTACTTCAAGTAGCATTTCAAGTACATTTTGATGCCAATTATTTTCTACTTTTACTTAAGTAACATTTTGAACTGAGGACTGTTACAAAATGGAGTATTTTAAGACCATAGTATTTGTACTTTAAGTAAAGGATCCGAGTACAAACACTGACTTTACGATACGTGAGGTTATGGTGCTATATAACACACGTATTAATGCCTTGTGAATGAATCTATTACTGAAATACCACACACACACACACACACACACACACACACACACACACACACACACACACACACACACACACACACACACACACGCACTCACGCACGCACGCACGCACGCACGCACGCACGCACGCACGCACGCACGCACGCACGCACGCACGCACGCACGCACGCACGCACGCACGCACGCACACACACACACACACACACACACACACACACACACACACACACACACACACACCCTGTCTGCAGGCAGCTGTGTGGGCCGCTGTGGGGAGGTGTTCACCAGAGGCCAGCAGTGTACCTGTGACTTCAGCTGCCTCAGACACAACGAGTGCTGCCAGGACTTCCAGGCTGCCTGCACCACAGGTAACCATTCATTTATACTGGGGACGCTGGGGACATGTCCACCACTTTTGGAAATGGCCAACTTTGTCCCCACCGGCATTAGGATAATTTGTTAAATATGTTCTGAAAATAGCGTGCACAAAGAATTGTACACTTTGAGAGGTTTATCTGCACAAGAGAACATGCACTATCTGGAGGAGTGTTCTCACTTTCTGGGGGTCTTTCTGGTGGTCAAGTGGTGCAGTTTGGACCTGAGACACGTTTAATATTAGTGATAATTGAAGAATAGTGAAGCAATGGTTGCTCCCGCTTAGCAGCAGCATAGTTACTGCACTAGTTGTTAAAAACACTACTATAAGCATATGTATGTATATACACTAGTACATATGTTTGTATTGTTTGAAGGGACGCTAAATGCACTTGTGTTTTTTTAAACCTGAAAAGAGTCCCCACCACTTTTCTAACAACATGGGTACAACACTCTACAGATAAACATATTCAACAGTAGATTTGAGTAATTGATCTGTGTGATTTATTATGTGGTAAAATGTAAAGCAAAGATATAATATGTGAGTAGAACAGACCCAACAGGGTGTGAGACGTGCAGGGAAGGAGTGTCCATGATCCTGACTGTTACTGCAGCGTGAAAAGGTTATGCTCTTGCTTTAGTGCAGCACACTGACTCTAATATCATACATTCATCAAATGTTTGGGTTTTTGGAGCCCCTTTAGCGTGCTGTTTTTATTTTCTATAGAGCTTTTAAACCTATATCCTTTGCTGTTTTTATTTATAATAACTGTTTCACTGAAATCTTGAGCTTTTTTAGCTGATTTTTTTATTTTCTATAACCTTGCAGCCACTGTTGTTTTCATTTAACAAAACATTTGATGTGCTTCAGTTTCAATGTTTTCTGCTATCTAATCAGGCTGCTACATTTGACAAAGAAACTCTAATGTTATGTCACATCACAGAACTAGACTCCTTCTATATGTCCCTGGTAGTTGGTGGAGACCAAAAGGAACCATATTGTGGAGCATCCTTAGGGCCTTATATCTGTCGGCTTGTTTCAGATACTTAACCCCATTTGTATGAAACGTGCCTGACGCAGCCTCATCTCAGACAGTTGTTGATGATGTCTGCTGTTCTCTCTGCTGTCCTCAGATCAGTCCTGTCAGGGTCGCTGTGGGGAGACGTTCAGCCGCGGCCGGGTGTGTGAGTGTGATGCACAGTGCAGCCAGTATAGCACCTGTTGTCATGACTACCAGCTACACTGCGGTAATAACCAACAGCTACAGCTAAACCAGTACACACTGTGCCTTCTGCCACTTACTGTAGCAACACTTACACAATGTAAAGGTCCCCTATTATAGTATTTTCCAATAATGTATTACAGGTCTCAGATATATACAGAACCTGTGTCTGAAGTGTTTGGCTGAAACACCAAACAGATCATTGCAGCATCCCATAATCCCCTCTGTTTCAGCCCTGTTCCAAAAGGGCTGATTCTGTGTCTGTAACTTTAGATGAAAATAAGGAGCCCCTCCCCACGCCCCTCTGAGAGACATTTGGTTAAAAAGAACACAATGGTGCTCTAGGAGGAGATTCAGGTGATAATGTGTGGGGGGGGGGGGGTTACCTTGGTTGGTGATTGGCTAATCGTTGCAAACCCAAAAAAACATTGTGACATCACAAAGTGACCAACATCTGATCAGCTCATTTTCAGACAGGTTTTTATAAAGATGGATCAAGACAAAAAGAGAGGGGGTCTTTGTTCCTGAAACGTTCTGAGTCTCTTAGCACAGATACTGTATGTAGAAGAGACATGAGAAAGTAGATTTTGGATATTAGGTGACTTTCAACTCATATTGAAGCTTTATGAAGATTGGATGGTAAATGGACAAACATCCTGATCTGGGTGCTTTTGTCCGTCTGTCCTCTCTCAGATGCCGGTGTGTCAGGCTCTCTCTCCAGGACGGCACAGCCTCTGAGAGCTGCTGCGACAGGTCAGCATCAACAACACCTCACCGCCAGCAGAACAGCTTTCACAGTGTCACTAACCAGATCTAATACTGTGTACTGAATTAGGTAACCAAACAAATCCCCATTTGGGCCATGTCATGTTTACTACCAATACACACAAAGCCGTGAGATGAACAAAATAGACCTGAATTGACAGAATTAATCTATAGAATGTTTGGAATATGTATTTATGAATGGCTCAGCAGAGGCATAAATGCAGTGAGTATTTGTGTGCGCATAAATGCAGGTACTGAGATGCAAGACAAAAAGTCACATATTTTAATATATTGAAGTTTAGACGTGAAATATGTTGCAGACTTGACTCTTCCTTTTTCTCACCATGAAACTGATATGTTTCCCTTCTGCATTGGTTTTCTCCTCTTCAGGAAATGGGAGACCAGGTAGGGAGTGGGGAGACTCCAACAGTGAGAGTGAGGAATGGTACTCAGGTGAGGTTGTTCTAATTCTTATTCATTCAAAAAGAAGGAACAAAAACCTTAACTGTGTCCAAAAAAGCATTCATTAAATACAGAAAATACACAAAGCTTTTGCGAATGACTCTGGATGCAGAAACTGCCCATGAAGAAGACTGGAGGGGTTGTTTTTTTCAAATGTTGAATCAACTTTCTCAGCAATTTGCATCACCAAAACAACATACTAGCTAAGTTGGGTAGTGCATTGCCAAATACAAAGCCCTGCTCTTAGTAAAAAATCAATTTTGATTTCAAGACTTCAGGGGAATGGTCCTTAGGAAATACACATATTATTTTTTTGCAGGGAGTTGGATGAGAAGCTCAGTACCATTAAGAAAATATAAATCTAGGCCGCTTAGCTTAGCATAAAGACTGGAAATGGGGAAATAGTCAACAGATCACCTAAAAGTAAATTCAGACACAACACACACACGTTTTTTTATAACCAAACCTGTAGATGTGTAAGTTAGTTCTGAATCATGTATTGCAATGATTGATGTTGTTATCTTATGGCAATTTGTATTCATATGTTTTGATGTAGCGAAGGGCCCCTGCTCCCGGTACCCCAGGGGTCAGTGTCCGGGGTCCATCAGACAGCTGACTGCCAGCTCCTCTGGCCGAGCTCCTGCTGCACCGACCAATCAACCACAACAGGGTTTGGAATATTTATTGCCTTCTTTAATTTCAAAAATAATATCTTAAGCCCTTTTTTAGGTTCATATCAGTATGTAGTGTCTCTACTCGTACAGTGTGTTGGAGCGCTAGCCAATAGTAGCGCGAGTATTACAAAGTGATGCCACTATGTTCAGGAAGTAAACAAAGGAGTCCAAGTAGGTGTTTCAGGCAGGGGGGGGGGGGGGAGAGAAACTCTCTCTGGAGTAGGGATGTGCATCTCCATCACTGAGGCCGATGCGATGCGCATCTCGATACGTTGCCAACGATACGATACATTAACGATACATTTGAAACACCAGGCGATGCGATGCGATACGATATGATTCACCCCTGTTGCGATACAGTTCGATACGATTTGATTCAACATTATGCGATTTGGGCCGCTACGATGCGATTCAACACGATGCTAAATAATGATACAATTCAACATGGTACGACAGAGGAATTTGTTTTATTCCTTAGCAAATCATAAATTAACAAAAAAGTGCTTTACATATTTGGTTCTCTCTACTAGTACTGCACATTATGCTGTTTCTTTTTTACCTTAAAAAAACCAAACACTTGGACCTTTCACAAACAGGCCTTTTCATAAGTGTAGTAGTGTTCTCTGTCTCCAGAGTACAGTTCAATGTTATAACACCTCACAGTTAAACAGTTTAAGGATGCATTGCCCAGGATTAACAATGTACAAATAACAACTACCATAGTGCAATGCCCATACAGCTGCTGACTGATGTGCTTAACACTCATTCATAGGCTAACTCACCAGTGAGCAGAAAGCAGTGGTTTCTATAGGAACAATAAAGAATACAAA